ACCAGTATCATGCTGTTTTGGTTGCTATAGTCTTATAGTATAATTTGAAGTAAGGAAATGTGATGCCTCCAGCTTTGTTCCTTTTGCTTAGGGTTGTTTTAGATATCCTGTTTCTTTTTTGGTTCCAGATGAATATGAGGATCGTTTTTTGTTTTTTGTTTTTTTTTTCTAATTCTGTAAAAAAATAGTGTTGATAGTTTGATAAGGATTCCATTAAATCTATAGATTAGTTTGAATAACATGGTCATTTTAATAATGTTGATTCTTCCAATCCATAAGTGTGGGATGTTTCTCCCTTTGCTTGTGTTCTCTGAAATTTCTTTCATTAGAGTTTTGCAGCTCTCCTTGTAGAGATATTTTGTTCCCTTAGTTAAATATACTTTTAAGTATTTTAGCTTTTTGTCTACTATTATAAGTGGACATAAAATCCTTGATTTGATTCTCAGCTTGGTTGTTCTTGGTGCATAGCATTGCTGCCAATTTGTGTTGATTTTGTATCCTGAAACTTTATTGAATTCATTTATCAAGTCCAGGTGTCTATATGATAGTTCAAAAGTCAAGTCTCAATAAACTCAAAATAATCAAAACCAAATCAAACACCATCTCAGAGCACCTTGGAATAAAACTAGAAATTAACTTCAAGAAGAACTTGGGAAACCAAGTAAACACATGGAAGTTAAACAATTTGCTCCTGAATGATTCTTGAGTCAACAATGAAACGAAGATGGAAATTTAAAAATTATTTCAAATGAATGACAACAATGAAACAAGTTATCAAAACCTCAGTAACACAGCCAAAGCTGTGCTCAGTGGAAAATTTATAGCTCTGAAGGTCTACATTAATTACACTGAAAGATCACATATTGACATCCTAACATCACACCTCAATGAACTAGGAAAGAATAAACAAACCAAGCCCAAAGCTAGCAGAAGAAAATAAATAATAAATATCAGAGTAGAATTAAATGAAATTGAAAATTTAAAAATAAACAGAAAGGATCAATGAAACAAAAAGTTGGTTCTCTGAAAAAAAATAAAGAAAATAAATAGATCATTAGCTAGATTAATTAAGAAATGAAAGAAGACTCAAATTAGTTCAATCAGAAATGGAAAAGGAGATATTACAACTGTTAAAATGGAAATTCAAAAGATCATTTTGGACTATTATAACTGCCTCTGTACAAATAGAGTAGATAATCTAGGGAAAACAAATAAATTCTTGGAAACATACAGTTTCCCAAACTTGCATCAAGAACAAATAGAAACCCTGAATAGACCAAAAACAAAACAGTAATTAGAAGTCTCTCAACAACAACAAAAAGTCCAGGACCTGATGCAATCACAACTGAATTCTATCAGACCTTCAAAGAAGAAATGGTACCAATTTACTGGAAGTGTTGTCACATACTTCCATTGTTAAAATCCTTAACATTCAACTGTTAATTTAGAGAATAGGGCAATGTAGAAGTACTACACTAAAACATCACTTTATTGTCTTGTTAAATTCATTATTACTCTTAAAAAGTTTGGCATCTATCTTATTATTGTCCTTTTGTAGGTGATCTCTTTTTATTGGAAAATTTCATAATTTTAATCTCGATTTTAATATTCTTGGTAACTGAGCCACACTGGCCTCATAGAATGAGTTAGTAAAAGTTGGGAAAAGACACAACAATAAAAAGAAAACTACAGACCATATTCCCATTTTTCTTTTCTTTTTTTATATTTTAATTTTCTAAAAATATAATGGATAAAAGAAAATTCTGTGCTGAAATATGATCTGCTTCTCATTCTCTCTCTCTCTCTACACACACACACACACTCACACACACACACACACACACAAGCAAATATCTTACTATATGTACATATTATTTTACCTGCATACATAAGTATGTAATAATATGCAACTTTAAGTTTTTAAAAAATTAATAACAATAGTGAATAAAAAATAAACTGTCAGTCTGCAACTTAATTATCACAAGCAATTTCTGAAAACTTCAATTATCTAGAAGTTGTTAATAATGGCAAAAATAAAGCTCTGTTGCTCTTATTCACTGATAGATAAGTAATATTTCTGATTCCCATTTTTTTAAAAAAAGCACTTTTAACTCTCTGGGAAACTGAGTTCACTCTCAAACAATTGAGTGTCAGCTCTTGAAAGTAGCTATTGAAAATCTGTGGTGTAGTATTTAAAAATTGTATACCAAAATAATTTAAATAGAAATACAAGTAGAATTGAGAAAATAGGCCATCCCAATTATGAACAATGAAATATATAATTTTAATATTCCTATGTTCAGGCATTTATTCTTATATCATCCCTAATAATCCCTACTATGACATTAGCATGTAGAAAATGTTTAAAATGATTAGAAAGAGAAAATACTAATAGCAATGACAAAGATGATTATGATGATAGCATACAGTTTTGAGGTTGCTTGCCATTGATTATGCACTATGCTTAGCAGTGCATGTATCATGTCATATAATCACCAAGTAAATTGTTATATAAGTAGCACTGACATACTTCTTACAATGAAAAAATCTCACAGAAATAAAATAGCTTTCTTGTGTTCACTCAGCTAAGAGGTGATAAAGATGGAATTGAAATGGGAAGCAGAGAAGGAAGGAGAATGACATTAGTTTAATGTCTTCTATCTACTACATGCCAGATATAGTTTTAGGGAAATTATGCACATTAATTTAACATGAATCACCCCCTCAATGTAATAATAAGAAAACTTACAGAAGTTTAAAGAGCTTGATCAAGTCTGGTAAAGAGCCAGTAAATTTACACAGTTAATAAATGGCCTACTAGAAATTTAAATGCCCAGCACCCTTACTCTGAAGCACATGCTAATTTATGAGTCCTTTTAGGGACTTAACCATATACTAAGTTAGGGTGTCCCTTTAATAGAGTGTTTTGAGGGGAAGGGAAATTGTCCCACATGATTCAATGTTGAACCATAAGGAAGGTACCGCAAGCATTTGAGATGAGGGCAAGGGTGACAGTCTATATTCCTTATCCATGACATTTTCCATACTTGGATATTCTAACTTTGGCTTGTGCTCTTTCAAATGTTATAGCATTCTTCTTTTTGCATCTTAGACATTTGTATAACATATTGGAATAACCATGAATTCATGCCTTGACTCCTCTGCCTACTAGCTGTGTTGATGCAAGCTGGAAACTTACCTTATCTGAGTAATTTCTTTTCAGTAAAGAAACAATAAACAATAAAGTTGTATCATGAGGATCTGAACAAATAGTATGTGTGAGCACTTCCATTCTTCTCAGTCATCAGGCTATGAAGAACCCAGATTAAATATGACTGGGCAAGGCTGAAATAGGATTGTAATCAGGACCATTCATTTGGCTGGATCAGGTGTTGAAAAGGAGATTCAACAAGCTGTTATGTAGTATGTAGTGTCTGGAGAGTCAGGGACTGGGCCACATTTCAGGTGAGCAGTGGGTGCTGCCACGGTATAGCAGAGAAGAATCAGCATGCATGCCCTTACAAGCAGACAGAACAGATGATAGTGAATCCTTAATATGAAACAATACTCTACCTAGAAATGTCTGCAATCGTTATTAGAAAGACTAGATTCAGGTGTTCCAGTGACAGACTAGACTGTTTCAGAAACAAAACTCCACCTCCCGATCAAAGTTGTTAAATGAAGGCTTGTGAAAGAAAGGAAGACTGTTTTTGAAGGCCACATCACTGACTAAATGGAGATCCGCCTTAACCATGGTTTTATCTTCGGAAAACTCAATGCTTTAACATCTGTCCTTGATGCATGCTTTGAGCCAGCCCTGTCTGGACAACCTAACCATCTAGTTCAGTCACTGGTGAGCCTCCTAACTTTCTCATTGGTGGACCAACCCTCCAGAAGGGAGGGGCTTACTTCCTGAGAATACGCTTTTCAAATGCAACCAACCAATCCAGAGACAATGACCCCAACTTCCCTTTTCATTGGACTTTTTAACATCTCAGGTCATGGTAGCCCTGTTCCAATCACTTCAGTATCAGGTACCAATAACTCAAGACACCTTCTATGTCCCAGAACCCACCAAAATTACTCAAATTGACCAATCCTGTCTCTTACCGACAGTTTATCCCTCTCCTTCTACTTGATGACCAGCCCCTATGCCCAGTGCCTTCCTGTGTGAACCCCTATTGGAATAGCATAATTGTGAGTAGTATTTTCAATGATAGTCATTTTCTGATCTGTTTGCCTTACTATACCTCATATTTTCTATTGATACCTACATATACCCCACAATTCATAATACAATACAATAAATACAATACAATACAATACAATACAATACAATACAATACAATACAAACTCAGGCCCTGGAAATAAGATAGAAGGTCCGATACTTATATTATGAAATGGGTTTGGTGAATAAGGTAAAAATCTAGTTTTCAACATGGATTTCAGGAGCCATCCTTTCTGCCTGTGGTGTATACCCATTATAAGAGCTGAAATGTGGGAGCCAAGGAAACCTCAGTTTCAGAAAGAAAATCTGGAGTGTAACTTGATCATTAAACATTAGAGTGTATCTTAATCACTATGTAGTGGATTAAATGAGCAAATGGTGTGGCCTTCCCCTTGAGAGATTCCTATTCAGTAGATATGGTCTGTGGCTTAGTGATCTGTTTAGTTTAATTTACTCCATGATCAGTGATATCCTAAAACCCAATGCCACTGATGTGTAGCCTGACACCTGTACAGCTGTCCACTCTGTCTCTCAGTGTCTCAGCTAAAAAAGAAGACCAGGAATTAGATGACCTTTAATATTCAAATAAAATAATATTTTATTGAAATGAGTATTGACCAAGTATTATTCTGATCATAGTTACTCAGGCTATTTTTAACTGTAATTACATTTTTATTTTTATAGGTGTATTTGTTCCATAGTGATTTTGGAAAAAGAAACTAACAATTCCCCGGTCCCAAAGCAAAAGATACAAAAAAGAAACATACTTACAGTAGCCTGGTTCTTTTCTGCTTTCTCTGATGTCTCTTTAAGTTGATTTTGCAGGGCCTCCTGAAGAGACTTCATTTCTTCTCTAGTTTAGTAGAAAGCAGAGAGCAAAAAAGAGAAAATAATATAATTCAATTATTTCCTATGTACATTATGAAAGGAGGTTTTGCTATCAACCTGCATTTAGGAAACAGACAAGTAAAAATGTGCAGTTAAGCAAACAGGATGTACCTGAAGAATCTGGTAATAAAGGGCTTTCTCTCCCATGCAGATACTAAAAGTGAGCTGAAATTCTAAAAAATTACCCTGCTATTATGTTTTATAAAAATCCTACTGTGTGAATCATCTGGGGGTTACATGATGTGCTAAATCAAAGCAATATGGTACATAATTCATGTTGAAAAGCTAATTTTGCTGACAGCATGCCAAGGTGTTATCACGCTGGTTAGAAAAAGTCATCATAGATTTACTGATTGGGTGAAATTATTCCCTTCTAGTGCTCCTAATTGATTAATTCAAAAGTATTATTGCTTTATACACTCTTTATACAGTCTTTAGCTTGAGACCTTTCATAAAAACAAAACAAGAAGAAACATTTCTAACTAAAAAGCAATCTCATTTTATGAAAATAATAAAAGAAATGCATGCCTATGCATAAGAATGTGTGTGTATATGTGTGTGTGTGTGTGTGTGTGTGTGTGTGTGTATAATGTCTCAAGTTCACTAAAATATATGGACCTTGTCTCTCTTGTTAAGAATATAAATATTTTCTTACATGTGCATTTCTCTTAAGGATTTAGTATTTACTAATTCATAACAAGTGATATCATTCTGTGCCTAAATTTATGACCAAAATAATCACTTCAAAAAGATCAGATAATAAATAGAGGTTTCTGTATGTTTGCTTGTGTGTGCTAACCCTGCCTAGAGAAACACCCTCAAACCAATACAACAACAAAACAGAAACCTGGGTTAGTCTTACTGGCACCTAAGCTATTTTAGAGTTTTTCAATCCAGTGCCAAAAGACTAGCTCTGGAAATTTGAGCAAGTGACAAACCCTCTCATGCTCAGTTTCTTCATCCATAAAATGGGCACAATGATAGAACTAACTTGTAGACTTGTGGTTATATTTAGGTGACAAAATGTAAGAAAAATGCTTAGCACAATGCCTGGAAAGAATTGTGCCACGCCTGACTAATTTTTTGATTTACTGTAGAGATGAGGTCTCTCCAATTGCCTGGGCTGATCTCGAATCCTCAGGCTCAGGCAATCCACTTGCCAAATTGCTGGGTTACAGGCTGTGAGCCACCCACTGAGCCCAGTCAATAAGTGTTAGATCATCACCTCAATCAACAGCATCACACTAGGCCCCTAAGTTCATTTTCTGACTACATGGTCCTGCTCAAAAACCCTGGCTGCTCCTCCATTCAGCATGACTGAATGGTGCCCCCAGATGATTTACTATAGAAACTCTTATATTCCAGTTTCAATTTCAAGATTATGAAAGAGAGTCTGCATGCTTGTGAGAATCAATTTCAACTCTGTTGGGCAAATCACAATATAGTTAGAACAAGTTAGAAAATCATGACAGTCACTTTGATTCTTGGATGATTTATGGCTGCGTAGGCAATGCTTTTAACATGTTTTTGCTTAAAGTGGATTTTAAGTCACAGCTTCCATCACTTCCTCAAACTGGTTTCGTGTATCAGACTTGCTTCATATACGAGCACTGAAAATCCGGGCTGCTATTATTACTTCTGATATTTTACACAAACTGTATTTATGGCATAATATAATATTTTTGATAACAATATAATATTGACATATATTGTAGACTTACAATGTGCACGACCCTCTTATAGAACCCACAAAAGACTATGCTGTTGCATTACAAAATAGAAAACTGATGCATAGAGAGGGGGAAATAGTGTTCGAGATTCTATGCTCAAACCCTAGGGAGTCATTATACCATCTTTAGAGAGAATGGAGGGAAGGGAGAAAGAAAGAAAAGAAGGAAGGGGGGAAGGAAAGAAGGGAGAAAGGGAAGGAGGGAAGCATCCAACCACATGTCACCTCAACACTGAAATCTTCAACAAGTTTTGAGCAAAACACAGTAAAATCATACTTCCTACTGAAAAAAATTATAATAAAAATATTATAATAATTGATTTTAATTTAAGTTATTGGATTCAAAATGGTACATTTTTACTTTTAAAAATATATATACATTTATCAAGAATTAAACCATTAAATTTTATTAAAATAATGACTGCGTATATGAGTGTAGAGTGTGTGTGTGCATATGCATATGGGTGTGTGTTAAAAAAAAATCCCCAATATTGACATCTAGAAACAATGTAGAGAACAAGATAAGAATAAACTGAAATCTGTTTTCAGAAACTGGAAAAGGAAGAGAAATCTGCATATTTTCATACCAAGGAAAGTTATCAAGCAGAACTGTAGAGTAGGCCTTCTGTCTTCAGAATCCCCCATCACTACTTCTACCTTTTTCTCTACACTCGTTTCTTTGCACGCTCACTGCCTCATGCTTTAGGTGTGCATAATGTTCTGCTTCACAGACTAGCTAAGTTATCCCCCTATGAGAGATGACTCCTGACTTGTTTTTGCCGCAATCCCCAGTACTCAAACTCTGTCTAGCTCCTCTGGGGCCCCATTTGGTATAAAAACTGAAGCTTTAATTCTGAAGAAACCATGGCTCCCGTGACACTTGTGATAGATTGCACAGATGCTGAAATATTTTAGCATAAAATTTTATGTTACAAATAATCTTATAGGGAAGTTATTTCTCATCTCCTCCATCTAAAGTTACAACTATAAAAGCACTCGCACATTTCATAACCTTGGGGGCTGGATTAAAAAAATTAAAATAAAATACTCAAATCGCTCTACAAGATGACAGTTCTATCTAACGCTTATCGGCTTATATTTTAACAACAACACAGAGAACTTGCCACTATTTCAACATTCTTTTAGTTTTCAGAAAACACTATAGTAAAGTTCTTTAGTACACTATATCCCAAACTGCTTTCCATCCACCAGTCACCATAAAAATGAAAAATATTTTATTCCTTTTCTCAAGGCAACCTTTCAGACACTTCAGGTTACTGTCCTGTTTCTTAGTCTACTTTTGTAGTTACATTCTCACTCATGACATGGTATAGTTTAAAATCTCTCCATCAATCTGGGGACTCATATGAATATTATCTAAGCTAATTATTTCTGAAAATTTAATACTGAGGGGACAATACAACTCTCTGTCTCTGTCTCTCTGTTTCTCTCTCAGTCCCTCTCTCTGTCTCTCTCTCTCTCTCTGTCTCCCTCTTGCTCTCACTCTCACTCTCGCGCGCGCACACACACACACACACACACACACACACACACACACCTTTATCTGTATCTACTGGCAGAAAGACGAACTCAGCTTTCTTTCCACATAACTGTATACAACAACCCCATATCCTGTGAGTTTACGTAGTCTAGTTCTAGCTGCAAAAAGAGACTGATTAGTTGCCCCTTGGTAATTGTTATGGAGGGAAATTCTAATGAATCCATTTTTCTTTTGGTGATCACCTCTACAATAATTATCTATTTACAGTGGCTTCAGAGTCTCATAAAAGAAGCATAACTTCTAGAGATCATGATTCCATGTGAAGACCCAATGGCAAGGATCTGAGGACAAGGGATCCAGAGGACAAGGTGATAATTGAAAACTGTGTATGTAGCACATCTACAACACATTGCACTCTTTCACACTCTGATAAGTCTTCTAAATTTCCAAGGAATTAATATTTTGGGAAGTCAAAAGTGACATTTTTCCTCTTTTACTGTATTACTATTTCTGAATTTGAAAATGAGACACACAATCTCCTTCACAGCAAAGTAGCCATGATTTTTATATTTACCTTTTTAAGTAAACATCAAAAATAATATGCCAAATATATTTCTTGGAGAAATTACCTATTATTGGAATTCATTTAGTTTTCATCCTGACTTTGTGCACATAATACAAGTTACGCATTTTTTTTTTAAATGAGAAAGAAGGATTTGCTGAGAGGACAGAAATTCTGCCACAGTTGGAGGGGACTCAAGGGGGTTGCCCAAGTTATGCATTTTAAATATCTTCTCATTTTGTATACAATTTTGAAATTGAAATACCAAAATATGCTTCCTTTCATCCTTTAATTGGAAGATTTATTCTGTCATCTGGCAGTCTAAACTCATAATAAACCAAATATGAATTTTCCTGGGCATTTTGTGAGTCATGCGAGGCAGTCATAGACAATTTAAGAAAACGCCAACAAAATAAGGGAAAATACTTTTCTTCACCATTATCCTGCATAAACCTGACTCCTCATACTTATCCCTCCCACAAGGAAGAAAGGCTAACCCTATGGCTCTTCTACTTCCTAGCCCTCACTGCTGCCATCTCCCTGTTCTTGTCTGTAAGCCATTTTCTTCTCACCCTGGTCAATGTTTTCTTTCTATCCTAAACAGGTGTTGGCAAAATAATTCCCCTATAATATTTCTTTAATTATGCCATCTAAAAATATGATATATTGTTAGCTGTAGTTAATAATACAGACTGATGAGACAAAACTTAGAATCTACTCCACATAGCATCCTGCAAGTAACCTTAATAGCTTTCTGCTGTGTGATTAGTAAGCCGAAATGGACAAGTGTGGTTATTAGGTAAGGCAGCAGAATTTAAACTCAAATCCCAATTATCATGTCCCTCAGCAATTCACTTAAGCAGCTCGGCCAACAATTTCCTACTGATAAAATGGAAGGTAGTTGTGAAGATGAAACTATAAGATGCATTAAACAACCAAGAATAGCTCCTAGTAAATGTATAACAAATCTGATCTTGCTTCTGCCTTAAAAGACCATGTTGGAGGCTGGGCTCGGTGGCTCAGCCTGTAATCCCGCGCCTTGGGTGGCTGAGGTGAGTGAATTGCCTGAGCCCGCGGGTTCGAGACCCGCTTGGGCAACTTGGCAAGACCTCCTCTCTACAATAAATCAAAAAAAAAGAAAATTAGCTGGGCGTGGTAGCACGTGCCTGTAGTTCCAGCTACTTGGAAGGCTGAGGCAGAAGGATCGCCGGAGCCCAGCAGGTCGAGGCTGCAGTGGCTGGGAGTGGCCACTGCACTCCAGTCTGGGTGACAGAGTGAGACTCCAACTCAAAATGAATGAATGAATGAATGAATAAATAAATAAATAAATAAATAAATAAAAAGACCATGTTGATTTTTGTCGGGAGCCGCAATCACTAGTAAAAGTAAGGTAAAAGGGACCTGAAAACAGGATAAACGCCGGCTGGGAGCAAGGCCCCAGTAAAATGCGGCCATGACGGAGGCAAAGCCCCATGGATCCTGTTGACGGACGTTCCCTAACTTTGAAGGATTGCATGCATAGGCTTGAGAATGTTCCCTCTTTAATTGAGATAATAGATGCGCAAATGGATGATGGCATTTGACAGCAAAAATTATGCATAGGCATAATGGAGGTGAGATTGCAGCAAAAGGGGTGCTCCTTAGGGTGTGTAAGGATGTTTTTCAGTAACAGCAGGAGGCCGAGAAAAAAAAAAAAACGAGTCCACCACTTCCTCATAAACAACAGACCCCAGCTGAGAGCTGGTGGAAAGCAACCATTCGAGATAAAAAATAGGTTAAGATATTTTAGGATTAAATAAGTAGTTTAATGAAGATAGAATTTAGAATATTAATAAGATAGTAAGATAAGATAAACTAGTGAGATAAGAGATATATAATAGTATAAGTGATAGTTAAGAAAATATAGAGACATAAGGATAGAAATAAGATTAATAGAAATAAATATATAGTAGTAAGTTAAATAAGACTTAGGGTTAAGGTTTAGCTTTATAGGGTAAGGATATTATAGGCCTATAATAGTAAATAGTTATGAGAAAGTTAGGAAGAAAACCAGGACGTTCATAAATGTTTGACTTAAGAAAAACACCATCTGTGGTTGAAATTGTTAAAGGTCAACCTTACTGTGAGTGCAAAAAGGATGTACGTGGGCATTTGGTTAGCAACATAAGATACATTTGTGGGTACAGGGCTGAGTGGAAAACCTATATAAGCTTGTGAAAAATAAATAAAAATTGGCAGAGTCTTGAGCTCTCCCCAGGAAGAGAATTCCTGTTGTTTTCGTCTTTTCTTTTTCGCCGCTTCCCGATTCTCCCATCTCAAGACCTGTCTCTCTCCTGGAGCTGAACTCCAGCAGGTTTTGTTTATTGGAGCATATATACTTCCTTTAAAAACAAACAAATCAACACTAATAATATTATACCATTTCTACTTGATTTGTTTTTTTTTTTTTTTTTTTTTGTGTTGGAGTCTCACTCTGTCGCCCAGACTGGAGTGCAGTGGCCGCTCCTGGCCACCGCAGCCTCGACCTGCTGGGCTCTGGCAATCCTTCCGTCTCAGTCTTCCAAGTAGCCGGAACTACAGGCATGTGATGATTTTTTGATTTATTGTAGAGATGAGGTCTCACTGCCCAGGCAGGTCTCGAACCCGCGGGCTCAGGCAATCCACTCACCTCAGCCTCCCAAAGGCGTGGGATTACAGGCTGAGCCACCAAGCCCGGCTTCTACTTGTTTTGTTAATAAGATTAACCCATTCCTTACCACCCCATCATCATTACCATAATCAAGTTGTGATTCTATTAAACACTCCTGATCTCCTGTATAAAAATCTGCATTTGAACCAGATTCTCAAGTAAATCGTGTGTACATTTAAGTGTAAGTAAGAATACAAGTTAGTGCATTCAGAATGAATGAATTCTAGTAAATTTTCTGAATGTAGTTTGACACTAGAACAAAAGAAAATGAGTGAGAGAGAGACAGAAGGGGGGAGGGAAGAAGCAATCTTACCTTTGTTTCTGGCCTAATTCCAGAAGCTTCTGAACATCAGTTTTGGCAGACTGTTCATCGTTTTTTAAAGACTGATAACAAAAGCAGGAAAAGAAGGTTTTAGTCAGATGAAAAATTGAGGCTCACTTTATTTTGGTTCTGTGGAGCAAGGTATGACTGCATCTATACCCTGGATTAGAAATGTGAAAATGATTGTCCTCATGTCTCTAAGGATACACACAGGAATTTAAGACACCAACTAATGCATTCACTACACAATAGATGAGAGAGACTGAGCAGAGTTTTGGCTTTTAGAGGCTTGATGGGGGAGAAACTACCTTCCAAATATCTAGGTCTCTTTATAGTTGAATATAAAATATATCTTGTAAGCATCCTTTGAAGTTTTACTGTGTTCTCTCCAAGAATGTTAAACGAGTTCTGGCATAGCTTCTACAAATTCCAGGGAACATAGAAAGCCTTCCTGAAAAAAGCCAGGAAATAACACAATTCATGATTAGACCAACCAAGGCATGCACCTGTTTGGTCTTATTGATTTCTTATTTATGATTCATACATTAGGATGTTATAAAATTGTAATCAGTCTCTGCAGGCAGGGTATTAAGAAAATATATGTACACCACCTGAGTCATTAGTGTGTATATATTCTGGCAAATTCAGGATTCAGAGACCATGAATTATCACTGAAAAGCCCCTTGAGTTTATACTCATAAGAGAATCTGTCCCATTAAGCCTTCTCTAATAACTTTCTTATTTATATTCAATAAACTGTTTAATAGGCTAGCCTGTCATTCTTGACATTAAAAGTTGGAACTAAGAGGTAATAATCTTATTTGCAGAAGAACAACTGTGGTCAGTTGGAAATTAACAACAGTAAGAAGGGCAAATACTTTGTTTACTTAGTATTTATTTAACTAATATTTATTATGAATTATGCAAAGATCTGTGCAAAGTCATTGTGCCAGTCTTCACAAACTTTCAATTTAATGTTGAATACAAACAACTTTAATATGGTATGGTAAGTATTGTAGCAAGGACTTGGTGGAATGAATTTCACAAGGCAAGCCTCTTTCCTACAATGACTGGTGAAGTTATCACTGAGAAGCAACCAATAAACAATGCAGAGTTTATTTAAAAAGAGTAGCTTCACATAAATACAAACAAAGCAGAGAGAGGAATTAAAATAGGGGGAGGACAACCCTTTCGGGTCCCCTCCTGCTGTGGGAGCTTTTCTGTCCTCTCAAGAAATCTTGATTTCTAAAATAAAAGTGGGGGGAGGGACCTCATCATTCATGGATGTTAGAGATCAAAATTTATTATGGCCATGCAATCTGATGAGGGTCGTAGAATTAACCCTTAGACTTCTTCAGCTGAAAAACAGAAATAAGAATTCTGAAGAGTCTGCCTTATATAGTTAATGGAAAACTCAAAGCGAATAATAAATGTCGAAAAGCACCGATGAAAAGTGCAATAAAAACATGCTTATCCATTTTGTAGCCATCTTCTACACTCTGGACATTTTGAAGGAAAGCAGGATCAGAAGGTCAGGGGACTATATGCAAGAATTTTAATTTATTTTTTAAAGACAAAACTGAACTGCAGAAATGAAAAAGGTAGATAGGCAGATGAGGGTTAGCAAGATGTACCAAATTAGAAGAGCTGGAGTATAATTGGCTATCATTTTCTCAGTAATGTCCAGGGAAGTACAGTATAATTTTCTGAAAATAATCCTATTTCCTTTAAGGATACCAAAGGTTGATACACCTACTAATTAGCCAGCATGCTCATTAATTGTCTTATGTTATCATTCCATCAAGGTCCTGTGGCTACAGAGATGAACAAGTCTTTCAAAGCTTCTAACTTCATGAAGTTCCATTAGAAAATATTATGTAAAAATGGTCTATATTATTATTTATTATAAGTTTGAAGCCTGGAATTATCATTTATTGCATATATGACTGTGGGCAACTCCTATGCCTATTTGAGTCTTGTTTACTTATTTTATAATGCATATAATTTTATTTTAATTTTGTGGAGAGGTTGTTAAAAGGATTTAATATGATAAAAAAAGAAAAACTTCTTTCACAATGACTGTCACAAAATAATCAAAAGACATTTTTAAAAATTGTAGCTACATTTAGTGGTAGCATTGTTACCCTTTCAACAAATGTAAGCTTCTTAAGTTATATATTTCTATCAATAAATTTTCTAGACTATAATGAGATGTCTTGACTTAGTCTACTAGTATAGAAAGCTATCTTGGGAATATTGGAAACACTGGTCGCTTTTAGGTATTTCACAGTATTCTTGAGGTATTCTCAATATGTCAAATATTCTATAACTCTGAGACGGTGCAAGCGTTTTGATTATTCTTCCCAGACTTATTCACCCTGTGAATTTCTACTTAACAATATAGTGTAGCTTAGGCCTTTGCTTTCTATGGAAATCTCTTTGCATACTCTTTCATCCTAGTGAGTGTTTTCCTAATGCTTTTTGCACACATCTGTCATAGCACTAATATTTTTGCTCTGTTAACATCCTGATACCCGTCTCTGTGTCATATTGGACTGTGGATGATTTTTTTTCTCTTATTTTTATCTTCTCCAGATGTAATACACCTTCTGGAACAAGAACTGGGTATTGGAGTCAAATACCAGCTCCATCCCCTAACTATCTGCATTCTTTTAGTTTCTTAAACCTTCTGCAGCTCTGTTTTCTCACAGATAAAATGAGACTAATAATAATTATGGTAGTCATGTGGAAAAAAAAATTGTTGCTGTTGCTGTTGTGATTGTTGTTGAGATGGAGTCTTGTTGTGCTGCCTCAGCTGGTGATGAACAAGCCTATCCTCCTGCCTTGGCCTCCTGAAGTGGATTACAGGTGCAGTGAGAAAATTTAATACAAGTTGTAGAAAGAGTGCCTAACACTAGTACTTTATCATGTTTAATAAGCCTTAGTGGCTACTAACACCATCATCATCATTAAAATCTTATCATCATTATCCTTATGGGACTAGAAAACTAAAGAGAAGACTGTGGACAAATGGAGACTCCACATGGTTTAGAGATGAGATGAGGTTCAGTTCAATAACTAGTAGGCTCTGGAGCCAGATTGCGTGCAGGTAAACTTCTACTTCTTTTATAACATTCAAACATAATTTATCTTTTCTAAGCATAAATTTTCATGTGTAATAAGAGAAATCACAATAACAGTACCTACGGCATGGATGTGTTATGAGAATTAAATAATATAAAACATGCAAAGTTTTAGCATAGGTACTCAACAAATGTAATATTTAACTCAAATACCGAAATATGTTGTCAGTATTTCAGAAACTTTTAAAATCAAATTTAGATCTCTTTTTTAGTTTTTTGATTGAGATTTCACCATGCTAATACATTTTTACAGATAACACCCTCTTAAGACATTTATACATTTCAGTGATGAGGATTAATAAAGAATAGCCAGAGCTATCCTGGCCAGAATTAAGAATTCTCCTCTCGACATCATTCCTATATTCATTTAACTCTTGGTTGTAATTACTTTTTGTCATTTCACAATATGAAAAACACAGGGGTCAAATTGATCTTAGAAGCTGTGAAGAATTAATGGCTTTGCCAAGCACGCAATTTTCTCATTCCTATATTTGCAAACCACAGATTCCTAGACTGCATTTCAGATGACATTTCATTCCAAACTCATATAATAATAAGTAATGACCATCATGGTCAAGCCCAGAAATGTATTAAAAACTCTTAAAAAATGCATGTTAATCCACGGAGGCAAATTAGGTGACTGCTCGTCCTTTTCTGCTGGGAAAATTAGTTTTCAGCTCACCTGTAGATTGACTTTAATTCCATCAAGTTCTCTTGATGTCTTTGTCAGCTGACGGAGGATGGTGCTTCTCTCCTTAAAGACTTCTTTCAGCTGTTTTTGTAGCTCTTCATAGTCCTGTCTAACACAGAAAGACAGGCATGAGAGCCCCCAATGCTTCTATTTGGCCTCAATCACATTTGGTAACTCTCACATTTTTTAGTAAAATCTAGATTTAGTAAAACGTTAATTGCTAGGATTCTTTCCTATAAAAGAGAAAACTGAAAGAGGAAGCAGATTTATGACAAAGGTATCATTTTCCATTGACGACTACCCCGTTTCAGTGAGGCCCCAAGACAATATTGTATCTCTTCCATACATATGATGTATTTTATCAGGTATCTCTGTGAAAATAGGTATTTTGCTTGAACATATCACACTCCCTTCCCCCGGGTCCTTAACATTTTACAGAAAGAGACATGATTAAAAACAATGTTTCCCAGAGACATAGACAGATTCTGACATTAAGGAAGCAAACTTCGGAGTAGAACCAGAACAGAAAGCAGGGACCTGCTTCTTCCCTTGTTTGTAGAGAAGCTAGCCCCTTCCAAGTATGGCTAAGAATCTCTATTGCTATTAAAGAGGTTCTTGGAGAAGACAAATCTCTGTGATAATCAGTCAATAAATATAGTAATTACAGTAAACTTTGAACAAATTTGTTAACAAATACCCATGAAAGAAAGATTTCATTGTCTCAGTGTATATATACATATATACGCACACATTTTTTTTTCATTGTTCTCATATGGTCTTTGCAAGGAGTTAAAACAGATTGTAATACTATTTTTGCAAATGTAAAAAATAAAATAAACTCAGAGAGGTTAGGTGACTACCCTATGGCTCTCCTTATTAAAAGAAAGACTAATCAAGTAATGTGTGTGTTTGCATGTGTGTGCATGTGTGTCTTTGGCAGGTCGGGGGGGGCAGGATGAGGAAACAGACAATTGCCAGTGCAGCCTAAAACTGCTCTGGTCAGAGAAGCTTGAAATGAATTATTAGAACACATAGGAGAGTTGCTAACCCAGGAAAGACTTGCTAGAAAAAGAAATATGAAATATATATGATGTGCTTTGAAAGAGAAAAGCATGTTTAAATAATAATGAAAATAAACTTGTTGAATTAAAAAATGAATAATGATTACAAGATTTAGAGTCCTAATTGAGTAGAAAACATGGCAAATGCATGTAATCCTAAGTGATGTTTGAGAGTCTGGGCACTATTCTGAGAACAAAGGAAAGTAATTGAAAGGTGTTAACCAATGGATGATGAGGTCAGATTTATGTTGTGGAAAGAGTTCCTTAGCTGAAAACTCAGAATCAAATTGGAGCAGGGAAATACCTGGAAGAAGGAGGAAGACTGACAAGAAAGTTACCACTGCAATCGTCCAGGCAAAAGATCACAGTGACAACTGTTGGACAGAGCCCATCACTGAGAAGGTCTGAAAGAACAGTCTTTTTGAAAAAGATTGGTTGGTTGACAAATTCAATTATAAACTTGGAGGAAAATGGCTCACTCTCCGCTTAGTTCCTTTCACTGAACTTACCCAAATTTGTGTTAAACTGAATAATATTTGTGAAGCTTTGAACCCATAGTAGTTAATTCATTGAAAATATATACATATATAATTTCTATTACTGAGAAATATGATAAATTTAGTAATTCTGCGGAATTAGAAAGGAACAGAGTCCACCGATGGCTTTAGCGATGATGAATACATGCATCTCCTCTGGAATAGGCTTGCATTACAATTCTTTGCTTTTTCTCATTTGCTAAACGTAGGTCTCTAGCGCTCTTCACATTCTTCTTATTAAAAGGACATTGAAATGGCCCACTGCTAAGAACCACAATATTTCTTGCTGGCCTTGAGAAGTTTACTGATGAACCATAATCAATCAGTAATCAGACAGTTATTAATGTCCCGGGTTTCTTTTCAATCTCAACAGCAAGGTCAAATAATAAAAAGCAAGGCACATTGTTGTGTTTTTGCAATCGTCTGGCCTTACTTTTGCCCTAGTTTGTTTCTCCTGAATATTGAGCACATCTCCAAAATTAGCCTAAATGACAAGAGCATATCATGACAGTAGATACCATGTATTTACAACATAGATGCAAGACAGTGTTAAGCATGTCAACTCATTTAATCTTCAGAACAACTCCAGGAGATAAGCACTAGTATTATTGCTATTTTATAGTTGAAGAAATTGAGTCATGAGGTTAGTAAATACCTTGCAAAGACATGCTACTACAGAGGTGATATATCCGTCAACCTCCAAGAGCCCAATGTCCTAAGCATTGTTTTGTAAGAACATACTGACTTAGCTGTGAGTTTATCACAGATAAGTCTATGTTTTTCACAGTTAAATGTTTACTGTGCCCTTCAATAACTTATTATGTATTACTCTTCTATTACATTTGTAAATTTTCAACATTGACTTTATTTGCTATTTATTATTTTGCATTAAATTAAATCATAAATAGTAGGCTGAGGGTCATAGTTCCCTCCTGTTTTCTCAGGGCTTTGTAAGGTCGAGGTGGGAGAATAGTTTGAGCCCTGGAATTTGAGACCAGCCTGGTTGGTCACTTGAGCCCAAGATTTTGAGACTACAGTGAGCTGTAATCGCACCATTGCACTTTAGCCTGAGTGAAAAAGAAAAAAAGAAAGACCCTGTCTCGAAAACACTAGGCATTTCTAGTAAATGCAGTGAGAACCACTGAGGATATAACTTAGGAAGACATAACCACAATTTTTAACTGGTAGCACCACTCTAGATTCAATCACTCAAGGTTTTTATATAAGAGGAAACCAGGTAATGCTGTGGAAGCAAACATAATGGAAGTATTGGTAAACGTTTTATCAGATTTTCCAATAAATGTTTGTTTTGTATACATACAAAATTAAAAATGATCCTCCCAAACTCATGTTCTACAGCTGGTTTTATATGTCTTGGAGCTCTTTTTATGTCTATATATGTTATAATTCATTTTGGATGTATTTTAAAATACTTTACCATTGAGCATTTGTGGTGTTTCCAATTTTTCTATCCCTCTTAAGAAATAATAAAATGTATATATGTGGATACAAATATAATTTCCTATTTCCTGTGACATATGTTTCTAGAGGTGGAAATATTTCACTAAAGTTTAAATGTTAATTTTGGTATGTGCTGGTAAATTGCCTTTCTATCATCTACTTTAGTTCATAATTTGTTTGTAAGTATATTCTGATATTCATCTTCACACATTCATCTGAATTGAATATTGTCCTCTCCCCCTATTTTGTAAAATATTTATTGATGGCATAAGTGAAAAAAGATGCCTTTTATCTGATATTTGCTTCATAGGTAATATTGATATATGCTCATAACTGTACTGCTTATATTTATTTCTCTGTGAATTATCTGTGTATGACTTTTAATCATTTATATTCTGGGTTAGTTACTGTATTAGCTCTTTAGGGCAATCATACCAAAGTACCAAAGAATGGGTAGCTCAAACAATAAGAATCTTGTTTCACAATTCTGGAGGCTAGAAATCCAAAATCAATTTGCTGGTCATGCCAGTTTTTACCTAGGGCTGTGACAGAAGCTATTCTAGGACTGTTCCGTTGACTTGCAAATAGCCATCGTCTCCTCAGAACGTCTTCCTTTAATACATTTCTCTGTGTCTACATCTCCCCTTTTTATAAGGACACTAGTCATATTGGTTTAGAGTCCACTTTAAGGACTTTATTTTAACTTAATTGCTTCTGGGAAGACTATCCCCAAAGAAATCTACATCTATAGTAGTTAGAACTTCAACATAGGAATTGGGGTGTGATACCTTCCAAGCCATCAGAGTTAATTTATTTTATTTGGAAGCTATTAGTCCAGTATGGTGTTGAATTAGTAGTCATTATATGGAAAATAATTTTGAAACCTGTTATTTATATTTAAATTTACCCTTCCCTAGTTTCTTTTACATATGTATATAGATACCTTTTTCTTGATATGATCTGAGCTGTTCTCATGTAGATTTTCTTCATTGTAATATTGCTATTTACAAGTTTCTGTATGTTTATAAAAAGGTATTCGTTTTCATTTGTTGCTAAACTACCCAGTTGATTTTAGAGTATATTTTGCATGTATTTTGGAAAAGGTAGCAATATAACTTAAATTTGGATAGCCAGTTATCTTAGCACAATTAAAGATAATTCCTTCCCAACTAATTTTAAAATGGCACTTTTTGATGTACCAAATTATTTTTACTAAATGTCTTTGAATCATCTATTCTGATCCATTGATAAATTTTTCTCTTTTGGTGTCATATAATAATTTAATTTTTAAAACTATGTGCTATAATTTGATACTTCAATTCTTAGATTCCCCCCCCCGCATTGTTTTTGTTCTGAGTTTTATTGGCAATTTTTCTTTTGTGTTTCTTTTCAATGAATTTTAGAATCAGTGTGTCAATTTTATGAAAACCCCTGCAGGAAATTTAATTCAAACTATATTCACACACTATAGATGTATTTAGGGGAGTAGATAACAACTATGCATCTTCTTCTCATCCAGAAACAGTCTCACATATTATCCGAGTACATTTATATCAGAGGTTACCAACCTACAGCTGGTACAGTTTATGGCCTGTTTGGACTGGTTCACACAATAGAAGGTAAGTGACAGGCAAGCCAGCAAACGATATCTCTATTTACATATACTCCCTATCACTGACTATACCTCCTGAGCGCCACCTCAGATCAGCAGCTGCATTCAATTCTCATGGGAGCATGAAACCTATTGTGAACTGTTTGTGCAAGGAATCTAGGTTGCAGCTCTTTATGAGAATCTAAAGCCTGATGATATGAGGTGGAGTTCAGACGGTGATGCTAGTGCTGGGGAGAAGATGCAAATACAGATTAACATTAGCAGTGAGGTTTGAAGGCACAAAGACCACAATAAATCAGATGCTTGCAGACTCATACCAAAACCCTATCTTAAGTAAATGGCAAGTGAGTTGATGTACTTCAATTGTACAGCTGCATCTGGTGGCAGCTTTAAGTCAGAATCCTACACTTATTTTAGTCCATGCATGGCCCACCC